TCCAAAGACAAGTTCAAAGTGAAGGGGAGGAAGATGATATTCCAAGTAAATGGCATCCAGAGAAAAGAGGGTGTAGCAATATTTATGTCAAACAAAATAGATTTCAAGGTTGAAAAGGAAACAAGGGACAAGATAGGCATTTTTTAATGATTAAGGGGACAATTCATCAAGAAGACATAAAAGCTATCAATATATATATACCCAACCTGGGAGCACCAACATATGTAAAGCAGTTACTAACAGATCTTAAGGAGAGAAACTGACAAAAATACAGTTATAGTAGGCGACCTGAATACTGCATTGACAGCAATGGATAGATCATCCAGACAGAAAGTCATAAGAAAATACTGGCATTAAACAACACATTAGACCAAATGGACTTAATCAATATTTATAAAACTTTCTCTCCAAAAGTAACACATTCTTCTCAAACGCACATAAAACATTCTCAAGGATAGACCATATGTTGGGGCACAAAACTAGTCTCAATAAATTTAAGAAGAATGAAATCATATTTTCTAACCACAACAGTATAAAACTGGAAATTAACCATAAGAAGAAAGCTGAAAAACACACACAAATATGTGGAGATTAAGCAACAGGATACTAACCAACTATTGGGTCAAAGAAAAAATAAGAGATCAAAAGCTACATAAAGAAAAATGAAAATGAAAGCACAACACACTGAAATTTGGGGGATGTAGCAAAAGTGGTATTAAGAGGGAAGTTTATAGCTTTACAGGCCTACCTCAAGAAACAAGAAAAATTCCAAATAAACAATCTAACATTACACTTTAAAGAACTAGAAAAAGAAGAACAAACAAAGCCCAAAGTCAGTAGAAGGAAGGAAATAATAAAAATCAGAGTGGAAATAAATGAAAGAGAACAAAAAGACAACAGAAAAATTAACGAAACAAAAAACAGGTTATTTAAAAAGAAACAAAATTGATAAACCTTTGGCTACACTCACTAAGAAGGAAACAGGGAAGACTCAAATAAATAAAATCAGAAATGAAAGAGGAGAAGTTAAAACAGATACCACAGAAATACAAAGAACTATGCAAGAATACTGTGAAAGGTTATATGCCACCAAATTTTATAACCTAGAAGAAATGGACAAATTCTTAGATGTATATAAGCTTCCTAGACTGAGTCATGAAGAAGTGGAAAACCTAAATAGACAAAAAATAAAAAGTCCAGGACCAGATGGCTTCACTGGTGAAATCTACCAGAAATTCAAAGAAAATTTAATACCAATCTTTCTTAACCTCTTCCAAAAAATTGAAGAAGGAATGAATACTTCCTAACTTACTTTATGAGGCCAATAATACCTGATACCAAAACCAGGCAAGGACAATGCAGAAAAAGAAAATTACAGGCCAATATCTCTAATGAACATAAATGCAAAAATCTTAAACAAAATACTAGCAAATCAAAATAGCGATACATTACAAACATAATTCATCACGATCAAGTGGGGTTCATTTCAGGGATGCAAGGATGGTTTAATATCCACAAATCAATGTGATATACCACGTGAATATAATAAAAGATAAAAATCATATGATCATATAAATAGATACAGAAAAAGCATTTGACAAGATACAATAGCCATTTATGATTAAAACATCCAATAAAATATGTATAAAAGGAAAGTAACTCAATGTAATAATAAAAGCCATATATGACATATCCTCAGCTAACATCATATTCAATGGTGAAAAATTGAAAGCTTTTCTTCTGTGATCAGGAATAGGACATGGATTCCCACTCGCACCACTGCTATTCAACATTATACTAGAAGTCCTAGCTAGACCAATTAGGCAAGAAAAATAAATAAATAAAAGTCCTCCAAGTTGGGAATGAAGTAAAACTGTCACTCTCTGCAGATAACATGATTCTATATAGAGAAAACCCTAAAGACTCCACAAAATTTTTTTAGAAACAATAAATACAGTAAAATTGAAAGATACAAAATAAATATACAAAAATCTGTTGCATTCCTATATATTAACAACAAAATATCAGAAAGAAGAATGAAGAAAACAATTTCCATTTACGATTGCAACAAAAAGAATAAAATATCTAGAAATAAACAAAGGAAGTGAAGGACCTATATACTGAAAACTACATGACATTGTTGAAAGAAATTGAAGAAGACATAAAGAAATGGAAAAGCATTTCATGTTCATGGATTGGAGGAATTAATATTGTAAAAATGGCCATATCACCTAAAGCAACATACAGATTTAATGCAATCCCTATCAAAATCCCAACGGCATTTTTCACAGAAATAGAACAAAAACCCTCAGACTTGTATAGAAACCCAAAATACCCTGAATTGCTAAAGCGATCCTGAGAAAAAAGAACAAAGCCAGAGATATCACACTCCCTGCTTCAAACCATACTACAAAGCTACAGTCATCAAAACAGTATGATATTGGCAGAAAAGCGCACACACACACGCCAATGAAAAATAATTGATACACCAGAAATAGACCCACACATAAACAGGCAACCAATTTTCAACAAAGGAGCTAAAAACATACAATGGAGAAAGGAAAGTCTCTTCAATAAATGGTGTGCAAAAACTGGAAAGCCACATGCAAAAGAAACTAGACTACTATCTGACACAATACACAAAAATTAACTCAAAATAGATAAAAGTAATGACTAGAAGACTTGAAACAATAAAATACATAGAAAAAAATATAGGCACTAAACTTATGGACCTCAGTCTCACAGGAGTTTTTATAAACTTGACCCCAAAGGCATGAGAGGTAAAAGCAAAAATAAACAAATGAAATTACATGCAACTAAAAAGATTCTGCACAGCAAAAGAAATCATCGACCAAACAAAAAGGTAACCAATCAAATGGAAAAAGCTATTTTCAAATGACACCTCTGATAAAGAGTTAACATCCAAAATATATAAAGAATTCATCCAACTGAACAATGAAAAAACCCTAAACAATCCAGTAGAAAATGAGCAGAGGACCTGAATAAACACTTTTCCCAGGAAAACATATAGGTGGTCAACATATACATATAAAAATGCTCAACACCTCTAGCTATATGGTAAATCAAATCAAAAGCACAATGAAATATCGCTTCACACTTGTTAGAATGGCTATCATCAACGAGACAAGAAATAACAAGTGTTGGCTAGGATGTGGAGAAAAGGGAAATACCTCATACACTGCTGGCAGGAATGTAAATTGGTACAGCCGCTATGAAAAAAAGTATGGAGTTTCCTCAAAAAATTAAAAATAGAGCTACTATATGACCCAGAAATTCCTCTTCTGAGTATCTACCCCCCAAATTTGAAAGGACTTTCTTATAAAGATATTTGTACCCCCATGTTCACTGCAGCATTATCTACAATAGCCAAGACATGGAAACAATCTAAGTGTCCTTCAACAGATGATTCAATAAAGATGTAGTACATATATACAGTGGAGTATTACTCAGCCATAAAAAAGATGAAATACTGCCATTTGTAACAACATGAATGGTTTTTGAAAGTATTACGATAAGTGAAATAAGTCAGATGGAAAAAGACAAGAACTGTATGAATTCACTAATTGGGATATAGAACTGAAAGCAAAAAACAAATGAACTCATATCTATAAGGGGCAGGGGGCAGGAGGGAGGATGAAGAAGGTAAAGGGGGTCAAATGTATGGTGATGGAAGGAAACTAGACTTTAGGTCATCAGTGAGCACATGATAAGAGTATACAGCTTTGTATTATAAAGTTATAAGCCTGAAATGTATATAATGTCATTAACCAATGTTACTCCATAAATTTTTTTAAAGTATCCTTCAACAATAGTAATGAGGGAAGGTAGTGTATACGGGTGCAGATGCTTACGTGGGTGGAGGTGGAGGTGAAGGTGGTAACTTGTGGAAGTTCTCTTATAATAGCTTCATTTTCTTGAGGACAAGAAGATGTAACATAACCAAGTGGGAGAGTGAACTGACTAGGGAATTTTAGTATGACTGCAGCAGTAAAGACCACTTGAGGTAGGCTTCAGTGGATTGTATTTCTGCAGCCACAGTTGAGTTGCTTAGGTGCAAACACTGAGGGAGAGCTGAATTTAACCAGGGTTGTGGCTGTGCTAAAACAATAGGAAAAAGCAATGTAAGGAGGCAAGAGAGTTGAGGGTTTATACAGAGGAATGATTAAGTGATTTACCTGGAATTTAAGCTAGTAAAAAGATAAAACTTACTGGAAGCAAAGGACAATAAAAATGCCATGAGGTCAAGAGACTGGAGGTCTCAGTAGGGGGTCAAGACTATTGGAGTTATAATACGAGACTATATATGAGCTGGAAAGATAGGAGCTGGTAGTCAGAAAGGAAGCAAAATATCGTCTCTATTTGGGGCCAGCATTCTAGCATCCAAACATTCTATTGTTTGTCACTTACCTGTTAACCACCGAAGTCTCCTTTTAGTGTGTGGAAGCACAGATGTTTTGCACGGAGTGCTTTCTTTCCCCTTCTCCTAGTTTTATTCTTATGGTCTTTCTCAAATGAGATGATTCCATGAAATCAAGTCTTGTTGGTTTTCAAGAGTGAACAGAATCTGCAGACAGACAGGCATCATAATGAGCAGGGGTGTCTCTACGGAAGGTTGCGCAGTTCATGCACTGCACAAAGAACACCAGGCTGAATGGGTAGGTGGGGTTGAGATCCAGCCTAAGCTCTGCTCATTTAGCTGCAGCCCCATCACCAGTTGCCTTTTGTGCCCATAGTTTCATGCCCTGCTATGAGAGGGCTGTTCCTAGCGATGCCTTTTCTAATTCACAGAAAGGTGCTGTGTAGGCCAGGGAGCCCTGATTAAAACTGCACATGTGCTATAAGATTTTACCCAGAGGGCTAGATTTGGCAGGCAGATTTGTTTTTTTGCTGAGAAGTCCCTTGTGTTCTTTTGTGCTTCAAATATTCAGACTTTTTGAAGGAAGAGACACAATTATATTTTCTCAATTAAGTACATAGAGTAGCTCTTTATAATAGTTTTTATTTGGATAATTAAATTTTGCTTTTCCCCAAACCAATACATAGCTTTCTAGATCATTGGTATTTAGGAAAAATGATGAAGTATGGGTCACATGAATTATTTATGGATCACTGCCACCACTATTTCTTGTTCATTTATCAAAAAAAAATCTTACAAGGTTAGATTAACATAAAACATATACATGAAAGTTGGCAGAAATTGCTTACATAGGTGTAAAAAAATTTCTACTTGCTCATTTGTTGTTTGAAGTTCTCCTTTAAAGCATCAGTTCACTTTGGGATACATTACTTATCAATGGTCCTTGAGTTTTTTAGGTACCTTTAGTTATGCAAATGTTTATAGTCTCCTTAAACTATTAAGCTTCATATAAAAATCTCTGCAAAGGCTTTTTTTTTTGGTAGGAATTCTGGCAATAACCACTCATTGAATTAAAAACATAATACAGAACAGTTTTGTAGAGACAAAACCATCCATGCTCACTGAAAGCAAATGTTAGTACAGGGCATGAGTCACAACTAGGACACTACAAAGGCTATTTTCCGCATACTTTTAGTCAGTAGTTAACCCAGTAAACGCTGTTAGGAGGTAGATCAGTATCATTTCCCCTAATTTAATTGTAACAGAACGAAATGAGGCTATTCAACCAACCTCTCCATCCCCAAGTGATTTCTGGATTACCCATGTGAACAATTTGCCAACTCTCTATGGTGTACCCCACTTCAGGCATGTGGAAAATTTTCATTGACACAAAGAGCAATGCTGATTGTGATCTTGCAAGCACAGCACCATTCTCCATTATTCTCCATGGCTAAGCTTTCATCAAAGACCATGCTACATTGTTCTGAACCCCTACATAGTTCTGAACCCCTCTGAGGACATCACGACTTCTTCTTTTATCTTTACCTAGAAATGCAATGTTTGGGCAAGAAAGGGAAAGTAAGGGACTTGGAAGAATATGCAAGGGATGGCCAAGATAGTGAGGCTGGGAATGCTTTCTCATAGGCGCTGATAATGTAGGTTCTTCACAGGGATACTCATTATTTTACCTAATTGTACAATGAACATCAAATTCCCAGTTTAACCTAGGTATAAAATGGCATGTGAAAGCAAAATATTTTTTCCCTCAAGTAATTTGGTATTAAAAATTATTCATGCCATTTAGACCAAACTGCAACATGCTTTACATTTCCAGTGTAGAAAGTTTGGTTCCCGAGTCCTGGTCCTGATGATGGCAAATCTAAATGATAAATGAAATAAATAAGTCATTTATCTGAATAGACTGAGCAACTGATTGAAGTATTTGATTGACGGGAGGGGAAATGCTATAGAATTATTTAAAAAACTTTAGAATACATTTTGACATGCATATATTAAAAGTTAGATTAGAAAGAATTTCAGTTTACCAGTTTTGATTTACTGTTTCATGGGTGAGGGAGCAGAGGATATTCTTAGACTGTGTGTTTGATATGTGTCTAGTTAATAATGAGTTTCTTTCCTCCACAGCAAGATACATATTAGTGCAAAATTTTAGTACCTAGACTATGACATCCGCATAACAGGAATAAATACCTCAGTCAAAAGGCCAGTAAAATCTTATGTCGCATGAATATGCAGTTTTACTGCATTGCTCAGGCTTAGTATTATTTTTCAAGTTTTTGTTCTTATTTCACATCATGCATATATTTTAATTTAATCATGGCTATTTTCTTTAACATAAGCTATTTTAAGCATAAACTTTATTCCTAAATAGCTTCGGATTCATTCTATTAGTTAAACTCAGGTGCTATGGCCATACCACCCTGAATAAGCCCAATCCCATCAGTCACAGATGATCTTATCTCTTCCTTTGTGTATATGTGTCCTTGTTTGAAGATGTTTGCACATTCTTGGTTAGTATGCTTTTGAACCAGCTTGGAGAAGCCTCATTTACTTTTTAGCAGTTGGTTGGTTTTATAACCATCTCAGAAATCAGACACAGCACTCCCAGGTCTTCCAGAAGTAGTTTGTCTTTGAAGATTCATTTTCTTGAGGGGTACTGCTTTGCTCATTCAGTGAAGACTTTTGGGTATAAAAATGGAACAGAGAGTTTCAAACAGTTCTGCAGAAACTGCAATTTGGTCTCTAGACTTCACTGTCCTTAGGAATTGAACCTGTCTCCTGGCTTGAATTCTTTAGGACTGAGGTTATCTTAAAACAGAAATGGTAGGAAAGCTTTCCTATGCTTTGGGTAGGAGACAAATTTGCTTTGGTAAAATCTGTGGCTGAGGAAAGCACACAGGGCCTGGCTGAAGAAGACATATGTCACCACTAGCCACCAGGTTAAGTTGTGGAATCCAAAGGTGACAGCCATGGAAATGTAGATCATCAGCTCTGCTAAGTAGTTAGGGGAAGAAACATATTCAAACCAGTCTCCGAAAGGGATCCGGTGGTTACAGTGAATGATCACTCCTGAAATGGAAAAAAAAAAGAAAAACTTCTGAACATTTGAAGCTGCAAAAAGAAAGTTTTACATCACTTCCCAAATCATTTACAAAAACTCTTATTAAGAGAAGAATATGACAGACCTGTGTGCAAACCACCTTCTGTCACACTTCCACTGTCAATCTACAATGTATTTAAAAAATCACATGCTTAGGTTATACTATCAGATATAAATAAGCACAAAAGGAAAGCCAGTTTCTTTAATAATCCTCCAAGCTAGAAATTAAGAGCTCAGATTCCAGAATGAGACTGCCTGAGTTCAAATCCTGACTCTTTCACTTACCATCTGTATAACTTCAGGTAAGTTGCTTAACCTCTCTGTGCCTCAGTTTCCTCATCTGTAAAACGAAGATAAGACTGTATCCCCCTCAAGTGAGTACTGTGAAGCTCTATGCAAAGTACTCAGAATAGGGCCTGTCACAAAATAAGCACTCGATAAATGATGAATAATACTATTCCATTTTTAATACTTCAAAAAGCCTAATAAAAATTGCACCTGTGATAAGTCAACACACGCTAACTAAAAAGTCAAGTTTTTTCTTTTGGCTTGGAATGATACTAACTCAGCATGGAAATACCAGTGCTCACATGCTGCTTAGACAGATAAATGCAAGACAGGCCACAAAATGCAGGAACAGAATAAAATCATAAATATCAGGGCTAATGGGGCCAGAGAGATCTTTCAGTATAATCCTCTCATTTCACAGATGGGAAGATCAAGACCCAGAGAGGTGTTCTGTCAAAAATGAATATTTGATAGATTAGTCAACTAGTGCAGGAAAGAAAAGAATGAAGAAACATGGAAAACTAACTGAGGATCAAAATCCACAGGCAGTGGCTCTAAAAGATATCTCACCTGCTTTGTTTTTTCTGAGATTGCCAAGAATGACGTGGCACTTATACTGATGGACAGATGACCAGATGAACATCATCATTCCGAGGATATGGAACCATCGAGCTTGCATCAAGAGATTTTTCCCTATCACATAGACTACAGAAATATGAATTATTAGCCGATGCTGCAAACTTTCAGAGGTTCAGGGAATTTAAAAAATCATATAGTTAGTAGAACACAATTATCCACTTATTCTGTTCCTCATGACTAGAAAATTATCCTGACAGAATTTCTCAAGTACAGAGAGGGGAACACTATGCAAATTTGTTCCTCAGCCAGGGGCAGCTTCACTGGCAGAGAATTCTATAAGATACAGTCTCTTGTTCCTTCTTCAAAGGCTTTAAGCACAGAGTTTATTAGCTCTGTCTCCTGCCCTTGTGATGCACTTCTGTGGAGTGAGACAACTTTGCACTCCTATTTCTAAGCCTTATTTTATGTCTTCTTTCTTACATGCTATTGTCAAGAGAACACTGAAATCTCTCACTGAGCCACTATCTTAAACCACTGTAAGGGAGACCCTGAAGGTGGAATGCTGACTGACTTAATTGGCTCTAGCCAATGAAGACAACCTCTGGAGGTAAAGACTAAGAATGGGGCTTTTCAAAAAGAGGAGAAACGTGAACTTCCAGATGAAGAAGAGTGTCCTTTTCTGATTAGAGATTTAGTTTTAAGAGAAGAAACACTCAAAGTATCATCTTCTTCTTTCTTCTCCAGCTATAAGGAAGAAAAGAAGAATGCAGGTCTTTTAAAAACTGGTATCAGAAAAGCTAATTAAG